GAACCCCCAATTCAGAGGTTGAACCCCCAATTCAAGGTTGAACCCCCCAATTCAGAGGTTGAACCCCCCAATTCAGAGGTTGAACCTCCCAATTCAGAAGTTGCAGTGAGACCAGATCGCGCCACTATACTCTAGCCTGGGCGGCAACAGCAAGACTGTCTTCAAAAATGAAAATAAAAAAAAATAAAAAAATAAGTCAAGCCCTTTCAGGAACTGGGGTCTCTTGCCAAAGAAAAGAAATGTACTGAGAGTATGTAGACATTCCCCGACTTACGAAGGGGTCATGTCCCAATAAACTCATCGTAAGTTGAAAATGCCATAAGTCAAAAATACATTTAATACCCCTAACCTATTGAGCATCATAGCTTAGCCTAGCCTAACTTAAATGTGCTCAGAACACCTGCATTAGCCCACAGTGGGCAAAATCACCTAACACAGAGCCTACTTTACAGCGAAGTGTTGACTATCTCATGTCGTGTATTCAATGCTGTACTGAAAATGAAAAACAGAATGGTTGTGTGAGTCCTTGAAGGAAAGTGATAAGCATTTCTACTGAATCCCTGTCACTTTCACACCGTCATAAAGTCAAAAAAATCATAAACTGAACTATTATAAGTTGGGGACCATCTGTACTCTAATTCCAGAAGGTGAGTGGAGGAGCTGAGCTGGGACTAGGGAGGCAAAGGACAACGAGCTTCCTGAGGTCATTAAATTAGAGCGTATGGGCTGCAGTTTGCCTCGCCCACCAAGGCTGGACTGGCCTTGCTCCCGACGCTCCTCTAGGCTAAGTTCCAGAACCCAGTAACCAGAAGAAAAATCTCTGGGCAACGGGTGCTAACCGCAAGATCTGGCCACAACCACTGTGTGGCCTTCATGTCCCAGTTCACCGCTCTACTCTGTACACAGGGCCAAGGGCAACCGGGCAGTGCCCAGATCTGCCTCACCTGGCTCTCAGCTACCTGGTAGTCTCTGCACTGCAAAGGAGAGGTTCCCGGGCGTTGGCTTCCATCAGGAGGGCTTGGCTCCAGCATGCCCTAAGGAGTGCTGTTACTCTTTTTGTTAGCTTTAGGAGACAAGAGTCTATCTCATTGCTGTCATCAAACTCAGCAAAAATGAGATGGCTAAATCAATAGCCTACCAAGCTTTGCTGACGGCTTTAAGAAGGGACCATCGCAACGTCAATATTTTTGTGTCCAAAATGACATTTATTTAATCTGGCTTCCTTCTTGCTTCTGTGGAATATCGAGTGTTGCTGCTGAGCCAGCCCAGAACAAAACAGAGGCACGAGGAAGCTTGTTCCCTGAGCTCCTGCGGGCGGCTCACTCTCCCTTCATACACCAACACCCTTTCCCAGACCGCTCTCCTGTGTCCGCAAGCTGAAAGCTGCTCTTCCTTGGGGTCCAGCTTTTCGTGTGGGGACCCAGATTCAACCAACTTCTAGCCAAGCAGCTATCCTGGTCCGGAATCAAGCTGGATGCCTCTACATACATGTCTCTATTTAACCCCCATAACAAATCAATGAAATGGGCATTATCCATGTTTGCAAACGACAAAACCAAGACAAGTTCTGAGGCTTACAGGGACACCAAATGCAAACCGGGAATTTAACGCAGGTCCTCCAGCGCCCACACCAGGGCTCTTTCCACCCACACCTTGGTGCATCTCTGATGGTGAAAGTTTAAGCACAGCCAATAAGACAGTTTGGGTAAGGAGGAACCTAGATCATGTTTACGGAAGCATTTTGCAAGCTGTACAGCCCAATACAGAGAGAGAGATTTAACTGCACCACGCTGATCTCTGCCGTCTCCTGCACAGAAGCACTGAGCCCAGAAGATCATTCATCCATCCATTTGGTGCAAACAATTAGTCACCTACCTGTCTGGGTTGGGCATGTCATGCTGGGCCGGTGGCAGGAATGCTCCTTCTCTTTGCATAAATCTCATTAACCACCAAGGCTCACAGGTTCTTCTGTGCGTCTCTCAAATCTCCTGGCTTTGTCTCCACCCCACTGCCCTTCCCTGAGGCTCTATCATCTCTCACCTAAATCACTGCAGCACCTGTGCCTGGTCCCCTGGTGACCCTCTCTGTCCCTGACAACTCTCCACACTGCCAGCTTTTTAAAGGCTGCATCTGAGCCTGTCACACCTGGGCTTAAAGCCTTTCCACAGCTCCCACTGTTCTCAGCCTGAACTTCAAGCTCCTTGGCCTGGCTCTCAAGGTTGTGATCTGGCGGTCACCACTGCCTCCAGACCCTCACCTTCACCCTCCGTGTGCCAGTTCTGCGGACCACAAGCATCCACAAGACACATCTCCCGCTTCTCCTTGCCAGGTGAACATCACCACCTTCAGCTGTTAGCTTCGACATCACCTGCTCTGGAGGCCTCACCTCCTCAAGTTCAGCCAGTGACTGTCCCACAGGGCTGCTCAGGGCCCTGTGAACATTGCTGCCACTCCTTACTTGCAATCACACTCACTCTTCTGGGGTCCCCACTAAGTGGTCAGCTCTGTAAGTGCAGGGATTAGGTCTGTGTCGTCCATGACTACGTTCTAGGGGGACGGCACAAGTATTCAGTCAGTCTTTGAGCAAACAGGCATTTGTTTGTGCAAGCACCAGTGCTGGCCCCATGGAAAGCTGGCAGGGCTCTGCCACTGCTCAGAAGCCACCCTTTCTCACTTCTCACTTGCTCTTGGCCATGATCAATCCTGACCCTACAGCCACAAAGTCTCTCTTGGTAAATACCATGGGGAGGTTCTCAGGAACCCCACTCTAGCTGGACCTTAGACAGAGGGTGGCTCAGACTCAGGGCACCATCTCTGGAGGCTCTGGGACATAGCAGCTGCAGGATGGGGCCCTGGAGGTTGATGCTTTGGGACAATTCTGTGTGGACCTGGCCACTCCCTTAAGAGGGAGGGAGATGGAGCTCCACAGGAAGTGGGTTTTTGAGATGCCCACCTCCAAACCTCCAACTGTCATCAGACCCCCATGCACACTCACCCTCACGCCTGCCTCCACCCTGGGGACATAAGCATGGCGAGGACCAGGGAAGGGGGAGTTCTGAGCTTCTCATCTGCAGCTTGTCACCATGACTGACAGCCAAGGAAACTCCACTCACCAGGACCCCAACCAAGGCCACAGGAGACCACAGGAAGGCGGCAATGTCAGCGGCCCAGCCAGCGGCTCTCCCCACTCACAGTTTTAATAGTCTTCCCTGCTAACCATCCTCACCCGGATTTTGTTCCTTGAGGCTGTCCCAGAGTCACCCTGAAAGGGCCAAGCCACACTGTGAGGTCCCTTCAGTCCTAGGAGACATCAAGCTCAAATGGACCCTGGGAACGTCAAAGGGACTGGGAAGAAGACTGTTCCTGAAGCTGACAGCCCCGCCCCTACAGGAAGCCCCTCCCCCTACAGGAAGCCCCGCCCCTACAGGAAGCCCCGCCCCTACAGGAAGCCCCTCCCCCTACTGGAAGCTGCTAATGACTTATTCCATACCCCTCCCACGATACACTAGGGGCCTGGCCACGGTGTAGTGGGTGATTGGTACGGAGACAGGACTATGGCCTCAGGCAGAAGGCTCCAGCACTGCGACTGACCCCTGATCCAGCCGTTTCAAGGGTGAATGTTAGCATTCCTCAGGCACCCAGAGTGGGCTGAGACCCTCCCCGCACCAGCAGATCTGCAACCTGGGACCCAAAAAGAGATGAGGTCCCCCTGGGGGTGTGTCTTGGATGAAGGGTAGGAGTGGTATCTGACCTCCCTCTGGGTCCCTCACACCAACCACGACGTAAGTCACAGTTTCGGCTTAGTGAACAAAACACACCACTGAGGGACAGCCTGCTGTGCTTTTGACACTTTATTGGTTATTTAAAAACATGCTAAAAACATGGTGTTCCATAAAGCCAGGACCAGGATGAAGGAACGCACAGATACGGCATTGCAAGCAGAAAGTGCATCTGAAACCAACAAGCGTGCTTGCCCTGCTCTCCCGTGCCGCCCAGGGGCAGGTAGGTGGGCAAGGTGTGGGCAGGAAGCCCCATGCCTCGCCTCCTGAGTGCCCAATCAAGGTGGGGAGGCCAGGCCCCACCCTGGACTACTGCCTCACTGCGGTAGGGAGGACAGTGGGGGGCACAGGAACATAGGGGCCAGCTGGCCAGATTCTGAGAAGCTGAGGGACGAAAAATGGACCCCCAGCACCTCCCGTCCAGCTCCCATCCTATGCCACGTCCCTGCTAGTTAGCACCTCCACCAGTGGGTGGGCAGGGGCTGGAGAGGAGGGGACAGCCACTTCCATACACCTGGACTGCTCTTTGGCCACCAAAGCCACCTAGTTCCAAGTCAAACCAGGCATCTGCAAGAGGGTCTGGGGCAGGGCCATCCTTCCAGAGAGCCCGAGATGCAGGCCCATGCTGGAGGGAGAGGGGGTGACACGGCTCAAGCTGGGGGAGGGGTACAGGGGGAGACTTGCACCCTGACACCTGCTGCCACCACCCAAGGGCAGTTCTCAGCCTGTGCCTGCTCATCCTCACTGCAAGATGGTTGCAGAGAAAGGCTGAGTCTGCAGTGGACGCTCCCCTGCAGTCCTCTACCAGCCCTGAGGGACTTTCTGAGGCAAGTCTGTAAATTGCTCACTTCAGACCCGATTGAACTAACTCTGGCAAAGGAAGCTGAGAGTGAGGGAATTCTCTCGGGGGAATTCTGCCTGTGAGATCACAGTCAGGAGAAACTGAAGAGAGGCTGTGCCACCTTCACTGGCATTGCTAGGTGTGGCCCTCCGAGTAGAAGGGGCTTGGAGGAACACCCGCTCCGTGCACAGAGATTTCCACCCAATGTAGACTTAGCCAAATAATAAAACAGCCAAGCACAGAGTGAGTATACAGGACAGCGTGGGGACCTGTAGACAAGGCTCTGCAAACAGAAGAGGTGGGGGCTGGTGGGAGCACTGTGGCAAAGGCTCTGGGTTCAGAGGTCACCCCTGAAGCACTCCAGAAACAAAAGATTTTCAGGGAGGTTGCACATCTCCCAGTGCACTAGGCTTTTGCTGTTGATATTAACAAAAATTAAAAATTGCATTGATAGGCATAAACAAACCCACCCAACCCACCCACAGCAAAAAAAAGCACGAGGCCCCGGGTCCCATCGCGCAACTGGAACACTTGTGTGCTTAGCGTCTCTCCGCCCAGTGTGTCTGCTTCACAATCTGCACTTTGGGGGTTCCCAGGGAGGCAGCTGAAGCTCCTTACCAGGAAGCCAGGCCAGAAGACAAGGCAAGGGCAGCTTTGCTCAAATGTGGGCCTCCCCCATGTTCCATCAGCACCATTGTCCCGTCTCAGGGAAGCGCTCTTTACCCTGCACGACTTGCAGGACCACCCTACTCTCCACTCCCACCCCCGCAAAACACCAACCCTGATCACGCCAACAGTTCTGCCCTCCTGGTCCCACTGTGTGTGTTACCTAAGGTGAACAGAGGAGTGATCGGTGCTAGGTGGCCGTGTCTCCGCTCTTGGAGCAGACAGGCAGGTGGGGGCTGGGGAAGAGACCTGGCCCCATGGGAAATCAGGGTGGCGGAACACACTATCGGAAAGGCCGCCACCCACCAAGGCCCGACCTGATAAAGTGCACCAGATGCTGACTAGTGGGGAACATCCCCGTGCTCAATCCCACGGATTCTCCGTCTTTTTGAACTGCAAAACAGTAAACCAGAGCAGCTGCAGTTTTGAGGGGGCACCCTGCTGCAGCTGAATACCGCTCCCTGCCTCACTCCCCAGCCTGTTCATCTCCCATGCCCAGCTCTGCACATGCTGTGACTCCGGCTGCTTTCTTCCTGTGGCTCCGGTAACAAGAGCCAGTCTAACCTCACTTGGGTTTTCTGTATTTCTTCTCCTTGGGATCACTGAGGATGTGATCATCACTGTTGATGTCAGTGAGCCCAGGGAAGGAGGCGAAGACCTTGAGACCTAGGTGGACGTGATTCCCTCCTTCCGAGCAGGGCAACCCGCAGCTGAGCAAAGCTGATGGGGATGACTGTGGGCACCGACCCCACCCCCATGGGTCCCCTGCCACTGCCCAGCACAGCGACCGCTTCCCCTTCCAGAAGCAAGGGAGAAAGTGAGCAGCATCTGAACTAGAGAGGTATTTGTCTGAGAGTTTCTAGCAGGAATGTCTGTGAAATAACTGGGGTATGCAGAACCTGTTGTGGGAACACCCACATGGGGTGGAAGGGGAAGCCTCCCGTGCCAGCAGAGAGCGGGAGGAAGGAAGAAAGAAAACACCAACAACTGCTCATCAGTGAAAGTCTAAGGACCTCACTAGCTCTGCCACCTTCCTGGCTAAGTGTTTCCCAGTGCCATGGGACCCCCTGCCCTGGCCTTCCTGGCTCGCTCAGTGAGCAAATGCCACCCCCGTGCAGTGGCGCCTCGAGCCTACTTCATGCTCCACCCGCCTCTTCCAGGCTCCCGTCCTCGGACACCAGGCCTGGTGAGGTCGTGCATCCTGTCCACACCCCCTCCTTCCCACGCGCTCTGAGGACACTGGCACGCCCCATCCGAGAGCCTCCTGGGTGTCGCACGGTGGTCTGTCTTGATTGAGACTGGACAGATGTCCTCTCTTCCCACCCATCCCTCACCCTCAGGGAAAAAAATTCAAACCATTAAAGAAATCAACACAGTAAAAAGTTACAAATCAGAAATCTAACCCTAAACTTATCTGAGAGATAATATTCCTGAATAATCATAGAGTAAAATAAAATAAAAAAGTTACATTGTAAGGTATAAAAAGCCTGGGCGAGATGCTCCAGGGGCCTTGGCCAGAGGCTGGCAGACCCCCACCCCGCCAAGTGCCCCGTGGTGACCACGGACGCAGCAGTCCCCGCTGGGACGGTATCTCCATGGGGGAGGGGGGCACTCTGCTCCCCACCCCATGTGGGGACAAAATGTCAGTGTGAGGAAGGGCAGGGGCAGAAGCCCATCAGTGCCGGGGAGGGTTCCTCCTGAGCGCACCCCAGCCCACCCTGTCGTCTTTGGCAAATATGCAGATGCAGATGCAGGAATCCAGGTGCCCCAAGCCCCAGGCCTCCGTGTGCCTCCTCCTCCCACCGAGAAGTCCGAGGTTGAGGCAGGGTAGGTGGGGTGGGGCAGGCTGGGGTGGGTGGGTGCAGAGGTCACATCTGGAGAGTGCAGGCAGGCGACACAAAGCTCAATCCTCTTCCCTCCACAGGGCAGCGGGGTGGGGCAGGCACTCCCGGCCAGCCCGCTCATGCGTCGTACTTCTTACCAGTCCGGTGGATGTGCTGGAAGAGGGTCATGGAGAAGGCCATGCCCAGGATCTGAAAGACACAGGGAAGGGCCTGAGGTGGGAGCTGCAGTACGCTGGACCTGACCTCGGCCCCAAGACGCTTGGGAGGTCACAGAGCACCTAGAGCAAGTGGGCGCGACGACTGGCGTGCCAGGAAATGCTTATGGAATGAAGAAAACGGTGAACACAGGTCACCCTGGAGCGCTTGCTCGAGGCCACATGCAGGTGAACTCTGGCTCAGCCTCTTGGGGCTGTTTGAACAGAAGCCATCAGACCTCTGCAAGACGCACAAGCATGCCCACTCAGAGGGGCGCTGAGAGCACAGAATGCATAAGGACCTGGCCCCAAGTGGGGACTCACAGGAGCTAAGGTGGAGAGTGGGAAGTGGCAGGGATCACTCAAGACTCATGCCAGCCGGGCGCGGTGGTGCGTGCCTGTAGTCCCAGCTACTCGGGAGGCTGAGGTGGGAGTATCGCTTGAGCCCAGGAGTTCTGGGCTATAGTGCACTATGCTGCTCGGGTGTCCGCACCAAGTTCTGCATCAATATGGTGACCACCCGGGAGTGGGGGACCACCAGGTTGCCCAAGGAGGGGTGGACCGGCCCAGGTCGGAAACGGAGCAGGTCAAAACTCCCATGCTGATCAGTAGTGGGACTGCACCTGTGAACAGCCACTGCACTCCAGCCTGGGCAACATAGCAAGACCCCACCTCTTAAAAAAAGAAAGAAAGAAAGAAAAAAATAAAAAAGACTCATGCCAGCCAGGCACGGTGGCACTTTAGGAGGCCAAGGTGGGAGGATGGCTTGAGATCAGCCTGGGCAACAGAGGGAGACCCCGTCTTGATTTTTTAAAAAAAGTATTTTTAATTATTCAGGTGTGATGATGTATATGCCTGTAGTCCCAAATACTTGGAAGGCTGAAGAGGGACGACTGCCCAAGCCCAGGAGTTTGAGGCCACAGTGAGCTATGATGGCACCACTGCACTCCAGCCCCGGCAACAAAGTGAGACCCTGTCTCTTAAAAAAAAAAAAAAAAAGACTCCTGCCAGGCCACTCCTGTCTGGTTGTGGAATTCATGGTGCAATGTCTTGGCAGCAACAGGGCTGTCTTACCAATGCTGTATGCTCAGGACGATGTCACTACTTGTTCATGTCCCTCCACTCCTGAATCCTGAAGGGAGCCAGGGACCCAGAGGAGTGCAGGAGGCAGAAGGAAGCCTGCTGGGGTCTCAGTCACCACAGATAGTGTGCCACAGGCACAAGCTGTAAACACGGTGACAGGGGGACACCTTGTGTGCCTTGCGTGGCTTTCTGGGCTCAAGGTTTGGGCAGAGCTGGGGGAACCCACGGGGGATGACTACAGCTTCAATATCCCAGCCCAGGCCTGGCCACAGGCAGCCCTGAGCACATTCTCAGTGCCAAGTAGACGCTTGCTCTCACATCAGAGCTCTGTGAAAATGGCGCAGGCACAGCTGCCAAGCTTGAAATGCTGTGATGAATTCCAGACCCTCCGCCGTGTACCAACAGCGCTTTCACTGGTCTGTGCTTCCTTCCCTCCACGCTGAGGCCCGCGGGGAGGGCTCGGCTCCAGGGGAGGCCCCTCTTACCTGCGTGATGAGTATGCACATCCCCACCGTGCCCAGCACGTGCTTGTTGTCGTGGAACCACATCTTCACCTTCTCGTAGCAGCCCTGGGGAGCAAGGCCCACGAGGTTAGGGCCCCAGCCCAAGCGTGCACTCCCCGCAGCCCGGCCCCCACCTCACTCTCTCCCTCACCCACCTCGTCCTTGCTCTTACCTCCCAGCCCTCCCTGGCCTCAGCCCTGTCCCCCTCCCTTGGTGCAGCCTCTGCCCCACCTGCAAGGCCAGCTGTGCAGCCTCAGACCCCATTCAACCCCTCACCCTCTGACTCTCCTAACTGTGGGGCCAGCCCTCCCCCATTTTTCCACCTGCCTTTTGGCTTTATTCGGCCAACCTCTTAGTGTCCCGGGCCCGGCCTCCCCACATCTCCTCGTGTCAGGGCACCCACACACGGGCTCTTGGACCCAAGCAGCCCACCCCCAGCCTCACCGTTCTCCACACAGGAGTGGTGGCGTTGCGCCCACAGCCCTGGGAGTTCTCCATGCAGCAGCGGTCAGGGACCGTATTCTCCCCCAGCACTGGGTACCAGTCAGTGTAGTCGGTGACACCACAGCATCGCATCTAGCCCACAGGAACGGAAGGGGCGATCAGACATGCAGGGGCCTGCCCCTTCCTCTCCAGGGTCTTCCCCTGCTCAGGCAAACCCCAGCCCCCCAAAAGTGGCCACCTGGAGTTAAGGGAGGAGATAAGGGCCTGCTTCTTTCCCCTTCTTTGGGCTTCAGCTGGGCCCACTGGGGAAGTGAGTGAGCGCTCCTTCCTGGAGACCGAGCGGGAGACAGCAGTGCAACCTGTGCCTGCCCACTCTGCTCTTTCTGTAAATCTTCCCAAGCTGGCTGTCACTCAGCCCCCTGCTGGCCCCTCCCCAGGGCCTAAATGGGCACATCTGGGAGTATGGACTTGTTTTCCTCTTTGAGCCAGAGCCTCCTCACCTAAGCCAAGCCCTGTCAGGGAGGCAAATCTGCTGCTAAAATAAATTCGGTCATTCATCCCGAAGCTCAGCCACAGCACTCCTAGGCCTGTCCCTCCTGTGTCCTCATCCCCCTCTGGCTGCACCTTGCCATATCACATCTGACTTGGCAGTTCAGGCAAATGCCCCCGTGGGTACCACCTCACTCCCGGTTAAAACCCAGAAAGCACAGGCACCCGGCCAGGTCCCCTGGGAAGGCAGCTGGACGCGCCGGGCATCACCCCTCCTCCCTGCTGGGCCCCACCGGCGTGGCTGAGCCCGCACCTCGGCCTGGATGATGTTCCAGGCGTTCTTCAGCCCCACGTTGTTCTCACTGTGGTACAGCAGCAGGCCTTCCTTCAGGTCTTTCTTGGCATTCTCGTTCACCTGCCAGGCGGAGGGACACAGCAGGACGGTTGGGACTGGCAGGCAGCTCGTCTCTCAGGCCCACCTCAGGTCACCCAGGATGGTGGGTGACAGATGCGGAGGGGGTGGGAGGAAGGCAGGGGAGGCAGCTGGTCTGGAAGGCCTTGCCCATGGGGGTGGGGGGCTCTGCTGGTCCAAGAGA